GTTGCCACCACCCGCGCCGGGCTCGCCCCGTGGCCAGCCCCGGCCGTTGGCCATGCTGGAGTAGCTCGAGGAGGAGGAGGAAAGCGAAGGTGAGACGGAGGTGTAGGGTCGGCTGAGCAGGCTCCGCTCCGATGCCCAGTGCTGGTCGAAGTAGGAGCCGGCGTCGCCGATCTCCGACTTCACCTTCCGGATGATGCTCTGGACAAAGGCGGCAGGCGAGAGGACGGCCAGGGGCGTCTGTGGGGGGCCAGGGCTGGCCCCGCTCCCCTCCTCCTGCTTGACGTACGTCGGGACAACGTTCTGGTTGACGGTGGCCAGCGTGGAGCGCTCGGCCGGCGGCGTGTCCCCGGGGCGCCCGCTGCTCCCCGACTCCATCTCCAGCAGCGCCTGCTGCTGCGCCTGCATCTCCCGCCGCGCCTGCTCCAGGATGCTCTTGATGGCGTCCTCCGAGCTGCTGCTGCCCGCCCCGTTGGCCACCGCCTGCGACGCCAACGGCGTTTTGGGTTCGCCTGCAAAGAAAAGGGGGTGAGAGGAGCTCCGAGGCACAGCACGCATCGCTTTACCAGGTCGTCATCATTCAAAATGCAGGAGAAAGGGGATTTTATCCGGATCTGATCTGGAGGGCTCTCCATCGAGCGGGCGCGGATCAGAAGGACCCACAAAGTAAAAGCTGCGACACCCCCGTCTCAAAGTGAGCTTCTTTTTTGACGATTGCAAAATAAATCCCATTACCAACGACGGCAATAGACAAACATGTTTGTTTTCCCTGTCTGTTTTTCCACCATTCCTGTCTAATTTAATTCTCTGGGATTCTGCTTTCTCAGCAGACTACCTGTTTTAATGTATTTCATTTCTTGTAATTGACTGCGAGCGCAGCTGCTTTAATGATTCCTCGTGCCAGATGGATCGTGCATCCTCATTTAATCATCTGGTTTGGGGCAGGCGGGGAGGAAAGGGTAGATCCAAAGTTTCTGAAAGCCCAGGTACAAACACCGCTGCCTGGGGACTCTTCCGTCCCTAACAGCATTTATGAACATTTCTTCCCACCATGCCCCAAATCTCTACAGATGTCAGCAGGAGAAATGCCAAATAAAGCCCATTTTGCCCCAGCCGCAGGGTTAGCCTGGTGCCGAGCATCCAGTGCTACCCTGCCCAGGACTGTGCCGCGAGTGCCGGGCTTGGCAGGGACCGGTTAACACTTCCTAGGGGAGGCAGAGACCCCTGTGCCGGATGCTGTTGGTTTTGCAGGTGTTTCGGTGTGCCGTGGGACACACAGCCATGCAGCACCCAGCCACCGGCACCCCTCTGGGTGCTGCACCCCTGGGGCCACCCACATACCAGCACCTACCTCCCTTCTGTGACTCGATCTCCTTCTTCGCCTGCTCCAGGATGCTTTTGATGGCGTCATCAGAGCCGGTCTCCGGCGTCCTGATCCGCGGCGTGATGCTACCTGATCAAAGAGGCAGGATAACAGCTTTGTCACCGGCACTGGTTTTACAAGCTCCACTTGTATGTCAGGAAGTATTTACTGCTCCTCATGTACAGTTATTTTTAGGAATGCTGGTTTTAAGAGAAATGTCACTCCCAATTAGTTGCTAGCCACAGCACGGGGAGCCCCGGTAGCCCTGGCTGCCAGGTCTTGCCTCCAGCATAACATCTCCCAGCCACCTTGCTCGCCCCATCCAAGGGCACCCACTCCCCACCAGCAGGCAGGGTGCTGAGCAGAGACGCGGGCACGGGGAACACATTTCCCATCCCTGGCACTGCGCCCTCCTGGCTGTGCAGGTCAAGGGTTAATGCTGGATCGGGGCCAGGGGATAAATCGGAGCCCTCTGGGTTGAAACGCTGGCAGACGCGTGGACCACGGACCTGCATCACCCAGTCCCTGTGCCACCGTGGGGACCTGAGTGACCGGCTGCCACTGCTGCCACC